CGAGTGTCCCATGTGCGCGCCCGGCAGAGGGAGTACAGAGAGAGGACATCCCAGCCGCAGATCTCAGCGACCGAGTGCCGGACACCGACCTGGAGACCCAGATCCTCGTACAAGGTGAGCTACTTTGCCGCTGACAGCGGGAGACCCAGAACGGCGTTGGGGGTGGGTGGGTGACTTCCCAACAACTCCATCTAATTCTGGGGGGGCACTTAACCAGTGCCATGGTGGCATTCCACGCATTGGGCGGAACCCTAAGGTCAGCAGTTTGAAACCACCAGCCACTCTGTGGGAGAGAGAGGAGGCTTTCTACTCCCATCGAGAGGTTCAGTCTTGGAAAGTTCTACCTGGGCCTAGAGGGTCCCTGGGTTGGCATTCACACTATGGCAGTGAGCTTGGGTGGTGTGTGTTTTTTTGAACACTGCCTGGCCCGCCACCATCCTCACACACTTTTATATTTGAGCCCATGGATGTAGCCACTGTGTCCGTCCATTATTGAGTCTTCCTGTTTTTTGCTGCCCCTCCACTTTACCGAAGAAGCCCCGGTGGAGTAGTGGTTACCGGTTGGACTGCTAACCACAAGGTCTGCAGTTCCAAACCACGAGCTGCTCCTCAGGAGAAAGACAAGGCTTTCCAGGCCCGTAAAGAGTTACAGTCCCAGAAACTCACAGGGGCAGCAGTTCTGCAGTGTCCTACGGGGACTCGATGAGTCAGCTGTGCCCTGATGCCAGTGAGGTGTTTTGTTTTCGTTTTCCCTTCCTCTTTAGTCTACTTGACCAAGCATGATGTCCTTCTCCAGGGACTGGTCTCTCCTGATCACACGTCCCAAGTACGTGAGACAAAGTCTCGCCTTCCTTGCCCCTAAAGAGCATTCTGGCTGTACTTCTGCCAGGACAGATTTGTTGGCTCTTTTGGCAGTCCGTGGTACTTTCAATATTCCTCACCAGCACAATCGTTCAAATGCATCCATTCATCTTTGGTCTTCTTTATTTAGTGTCCAACTTTCACACGCACACGAGACCACTGAAAACCACCCTGGTGCACTCAGGCGCACCTTAGTCCTCATAGCAACCGCCTTGCTTTTCACACATTCAGAAGGCTTTGGGCCGCATGTTTCCCTAATGCAGCGCATCATTTGATCTCTTGACTGCTGCTTCCGTGAGCCTCGATTGTGGACCCACGCAAGATAAAATGCTCGACAACTTCAGCCCTTTCTCCGCGTGTCGTGCTGTTACCTATCGGTCCAGTTGTAAGGGTTTTTGTTGTTTGTTTTTACATTGAGTTGTCATCCATACTTGAAGGCGGCAATCCTTGGTCTTTCTCAGCAAGTGCTTCAAGTCCTCCTCACTTTCAGCGAGCAAGACTGTCCTCTGCCCATCCCAGGTCACAGAGCCGGTGTTAGGCAGGGTTCTCTAGAAAACCAGAACCAGGACACTTATATATACAAAGGGGAGGTTTATATAGCGAGAAGGAATACAACTCTGCAATACAGAGGGCTCAGGCCAACTCACTTTCGGAGGATAGTTACTCTACTGAAGCTCCCTTCCAACTCGCCAGCCACTGGTGCAAAGTCAAGGAAGCAGACAGGGAAGTGACTGGCAGGAGGTCACACGCAAGATAAGCAGCGTCAGGCAGCAGGCAGCAGACGGGCAAGGCTGGGTGGCGCAGCAGGGGGATGAGATGTTGAGGCGGAGCCATGGCCAGCAGCACAGCAGCATGGGAAGCAGGTTGTGCAGGAGCCTTAAGGTGTACGGATGCACAGTGCACGGCACAGCGGCACAATCTACGGCGACCTGTCCACGGGTTGGCTCGGCCCACTGGTAGCCAGCCCACAGTTGAGACAGAGCAGCTAACACAGGCAGCAGTGTGCTGGTCCGATCACCGGGGAGAAAGCGAGAGAGATGCCAGCCTCAGAGAGCCATTTATCTCAGTTGCCCTCCAGTCAAGCTGCAACCTGATCAACAGGCGAATCTCTGCCTACATGTTCCTAGAGAGCCATGTTGGCCCACAAAATATGATCCCAGCACCCCATGGCGGGGCAGGTCGCAGGGCAGGACTGCTTCCTAGGGGGCTGGGTTGTCAGACACGGGTCACTAGAGCTTTCTACAGATCCCTCACTCTCATCAAGGTGGTTCTATAGCAACTCTGTCCGGCAGCGGAGGACTGACTCTGTGGGTTTCCAAAACGAACTCTTCGAGACTAAAAAGCCTCGTTTTCCCAGGAGGCCACTGGTGATTTCGAACTGAACTTGCGGTTAGCAGCCCAAGTAACTGCTAGCCACCAGGAAGACTCCGTGTGTAGCTGCAGAAGTCTCTCCTTTATACAGGCTCCCTTTAGGATGTGCAGCCACCCCCTCCCTCAGTTGCCCCCGAGCCACTGGGTCAACACTGGCCTCAGGCTGGGATGCTACAGAGGGGCCCTAACCCTCCTCACCCGACGGTGGGTCATCTGCCTGGTGTGCTGTCTCCGCTCCCCACCAGGGACCCCGGTGGCGCAGATGGCGGAGGATGCCATCGACGGGGAGCGGCTGAAGCACCTCATCGTGACGCCCTCGGGCTGCGGCGAGCAGAACATGATCGGCATGACGCCCACGGTCATCGCGGTGCACTACCTGGACCACACGGAGCAGTGGGAGAAGTTCGGCCTGGAGAAGCGCCAGGAGGCTCTGGAGCTCATCAAGAAGGGTGGGCACAGGCCACAGAGCCTCGCCTGCAAAGGCCCGCCCCTTCCGGCGCCCCCTGAGGCCTAGGACCACCTCTCCCGCTCAGCACCTGCCCTTCTCTGAGCCGCCCCCACCCCCTCTAAAGAATCCTCTCCTGGTGCCGTCCCCAGAGGCCCCTCCCTTGCGATGCCCTTCCCCTCTCCTGAAAGCCCTCGTCCCCTCCTTCCTCTGTGGTCCAGCTCTGCCCATGTAAGTTCCCTTCCTGAGATGCTCCCTTTTCCTGAAAGAGCCCCTCTTTCCTCTCGAAAACCCTGTCCCATCACCTGAGTCTCTCCCCACCGAGGTGCACCCCGGCCCCACCGCCCTCAGTGAGAACCCCTCTTTCCCGCAGGGTACACCCAGCAGCTGGCCTTCAAACAGCCCAACTCCGCCTATGCCGCCTTCCTGAACCGGCCATCCAGCACCTGGTGAGGCTCCAAGGTTGGGCGTGGGGACCCCTAGTGCTCAGAAAAGCCTGCGCGTGGCAGACAGGAGTCCAGCCAGGCTCCGCCTCTCGCTGCTCATTGGTTGACTGGGACGCTTAGTCCTCCTCAGTCCCCCTGCGTCACTGCTCATTGGTGCACTGGAATGGCGCCTGCTTACTCTGTGCCCACTTCCAGGCTGACGGCCTACGTCGTCAAGGTCTTCTCTCTGGCTTCCAACCTCATCGCCATCGACTCCTTGGTCCTCTGCGGGGCGGTCAAATGGCTGATCTTGGAGAAGCAGAAGCCGGATGGCGTCTTCCAGGAGGACGGGCCAGTGATCCACCAAGAAATGATTGTAAGCGGCTGGGATGGGGCTCAGAAGTCAGAGATAGATGCAAAATGGAATGGGGACCCCTCGTACAGGAAGCACCAAGAAGTTCATGCAACCAAGGGCAGGACCCTCCAGAAAGCGGGGAGCTGCCAGGAAGCCCCCTCTCCCACTTAATCCACCCATGCCCCTCTCTCACCCTGCTCTTTGGATGATTCTCAATCAAAAGCAACTCTTTCTCCCATCTCCTTGCCCCACCCCTTTGATTCATTCACCCCCATCCCACACCTGCAGCCTGGCAAAAGCAAAAGCCCCCTCCAGGCCATTGGCCCGCAGCCGCCCCCAGATTCTTATCTGCTATTCGGCAGCACCTGCCCCTGAATTGCTCAAATCTGCTTAGCTCACTGCTCCGAAGCTTCCAGGGCTGCCCATTGCTCTTAAACAGAACACTCCTTACCGTGGGGGTCCCTGCAAGTGTGGGCCCCAGACCCGCAGCAGAATCGCCTGCCTGGGAACTTGTTAGGAATGCATATTCTGGGCTGAGCCCCAGACCTTGGAATCAGAGGCTCCGGGACGTGGGGTGGTGGAGGTGGGGGTTCAGCAAGTCCCAGGCGGGGCTGCCGTCTACTCAGTTCTGTAGGGTCACTGTGCATCAGAATCGACTCGATGGCAGGAATTTTAAAAAAATTAATCTTTACAAAGCCCAACTGTTTCGGCTCTCCCGACAGTTCATTCCCAAGCCCTGCCCACATCTTCACTGGGTGGCCCAGTTTGGAATGACCTATCTGTGGATGAGCTGGTTGGTTCATGTCTTGTCACCCCTACTAGGGTGGGAGGTGGGGAGGGGACTTTCTGAGGGCTGGGGTAGCTGTTGTTGTCAGGTACCATCAAGTTGGTTCCGACCCATAGCGACCCTGTGCACCGGAGAAGGACTCACTGCCCAGTCCTGCGCCATCCTCACCACTGCGTAGGCCTGAGCCCATGGTGGCAGCCACTGTGTCCATCCATCTCGTTGAAGGCCTTCCTCTTTCTTGCTGCCCCTTCACATTACCAAGCATGATGTCCTTCTCCAGGGACTGGTCTCTCTTGACAACCTGTCCAAAGTATGTAAGACGAAGCCTCACCACCCTTGCCCCTCAAGAGCTCTCTGGCCGAACACCTTCCAAGGCACATTGGTTTGTCCTTTGAGCAGTCCCTGGTACTTTCAGGATTCTTCTCCAGCACCACAATTCAAATGCATCACTTCTTCTTAGCTCTTTCTTAACCAATGTCCAACTGTCACATGCTTATGAGGCAATCGAAAATACCACGGCTTGGGTCAGGCGCACCTTAGCCGGAAAAGTAACCTCCTTGCTTTTCAATACTCTAAAGAGGTCTTGTGCAGCAGGTTTACCTAAGGCAGTGTGCCTCTCTTTTGTTCCCTGTCACTGCTGTTGGGTTCTGTGGGGCGGGGTTAGAGCCAGGTTTCCACCCACCACCACCTTCTCCATGACCTCATCACTGCGGCTGTCCAAAAAACACCTTCAAACAAATGAACGGAATGCTGCAGCCTTTGGCTATGGACAGCGTAGAACTACCCCCTAGGGTTTCCAAGGTCATGAATCTTTACAGAAGCAGACTGCCACATATTTCTCCTGGGGCATCTCTGGTGAGCGGATTTGAACCACCAACCTTTTGGGTGATAGTTAAGTTCTTTAACCAGTGTACCAGGCCGGAACACTGAGTTCTCAGGCAAGGCTGGAAGAGAGGATGGTTTTAAAAGAAATGTATTCTCTCACTGTTAAAACAGAAGTCAAACTCCCTGCCGGAGTCAATTCTGACACAGCAGCCCTCAAGGGCAGCGTGTGGGGATGGGTTTCCAAGACGGGAGTAGAAAGCCTCATCTTTCGCCCTTGAAGGGGCTGGTGGTTTCCAAGCAGTTGACCTTGCTGTTGACAGCCCAACCACCTGACAGCACCTAGGCCACTTCTCACAGTTAAGGCATCTGGAAATCTGAATTCAGGGCGCGGGCTGTAATGGAATCCGAATTCAGGGCACGGGCTATACCGGAAGGCTTTGTCTCAGAGAGGGCGCCCCGCGCAGGTTCTTGCTTCTAATTCCTCTTCCTGGTTCCATTGAGACACGCACTTGGCTTGGCATCTATCTAACCCTCTCTGTGCTCGCTTGTTTAATAAAATTTGTATAGCTTCCGAGAAATCTGCACCACATACACTTACTTATTCACACAACAGACAAGCCATGGCCAAATGAGATCATTTCTAGTACCAGCAAAACAAACCCCACTGCAGAATCTGACACCTTAGCGACCCTGTTAGGGCAGAGCAGAACTGTTGCTTTCGGCTTTACGAATCTGTCAGTCTTTACAGGAGCAGACAACCTCCATTCAAGAGGCTTTACAACACATTGGTGGGAGGGGGACAGTCTTCCTGGCGCACCCAGGGAGTGTACTGGATGTGAGAACACCTACCCTTGCTTCCCATTCCCCATGCTAGGGTGGCTTCCGGAACACCAAGGAGAAGGATGTAGCCCTCACCGCCTTCGTGCTGATCGCGCTGCTGGAAGCTAAAGACATCTGCGAATTGCAGGTCAACGTAAGTGTCCCTCTTTCTTCTCTTTCCGGTGCCCACGCCCCTTGCCCTAACGGTGAGGCCCAGCCTAACCAGTGACCAGACTGGGTCCCGCCCTTAGCTGTTCATTGGTTTGCTGGGACGTCACTCTCCTGGTTCCGGAGTTTATTGGCTTACTGCAATATGTCGTCCTACCACTCCTCCAATCTGACACCAACCCAGATCGGACTCCACCCCTCGCTGCTCATTGGCTGGCTGGGAGGGCATCTTCTGCATCCCACAACCTATTGGTTCCTGCAGTGCTTAGTCTAGAGATGGGCACTTGTTAGGTGCTGTGAATGGCTTTAGACTCTTGAGCGGTCCTTCTGGGGTTTCAAAAAGTTCGTGGAATCATGGATTTAAAGGATGGAATTCTTCCACGAACCTTTTGAAGGTTTTGAACCTTTTGAACCTCAGGATGTGCAACAGAATGAAACACTGCCTAGTCCTGCGCCATCCTCGCAATTGTTAGTTTCAGCCCATTCTTGCAGCGCCTGGGTCGATCCACTTCGTGGAGGGCATCCTCTTTTTTCCGCTGCCTCTCTACTTTACCAAGCACGCGGCCCTTCTCCAGGGACTGGTCTCTGGACCAGATCACGTGTCCAAAGCACTTGAGACACAAGCTTGCCATCCTTGCTTTTAAGGGGCCCTCCAGCGGTGCAAGGGGCTTCACAATGTTCGGGGAGCCACACGAAAAGAGAATGGAATGTCTCCACAAACTCTCTGAAGCCGCTTTCCTCGCACTTATTCTAAGACTCGCATTCTGGCAAGTTCCAGCCCTCCGCGTGCTTGGGCGTCCCTGGGCCCAGTGGCTGTAGTAACAGCTAGCACCCCAGTTACGGTGGAGCGGACTCTGCCTCACAGCGTGCCCAAGCGGGTCAGACTAGAACAACGTTCGGGGGCGTTTTCGATGGCGGTGAGATTTTGGAAGTTACCACCAGCCCTTTTTTGTAAGGCAAGTGACCAAAACCCTGAACCATTTGGACACGGAGAACATCAGGCACAGGCCAGACTGGCCAAAGAGTTCATGAATTCGCCCCTGAGGTGATGGGCTAGAACGCCTTCTCTTTGGGGAGTGTGAGGGTTTTGGGGGCGCGAAACGGAATTAAAGATCCAATTGGTAAAGTTCTAGAAGCAGGCTTTATTGAGAAGCTTGCGGGCGGGTTCAATAACTCACGTATTGAGCTAATGAAACCGCGCGAGGGGAATTTCTGGCTGCGTTTTTATATCCCCTGGTGGCAGGCACAGCTGCACACAGGGACTTCAAAGGGAAGCGCTCATTAATTTTATCTATAGGTCCGCCCGGGATGGGTGGAATAAACACATCTTCAAGGGATGCAGGGAAGTGGTCGTTAATCTTATCTATAGGAACCGGGGCAGGTGAAGTAAACATATCTTCAAAGAACATTCTTTCTCGGGGATGTCTGGTTCTCAGAACTGGTGATTTTCAACGAGGGGAGGGGAGTCCGATGTGAGGGAGGCCCATGAGAGGTGAGTTCTGAGAACCAAGAAGGTGCCAGATTCAAAATGGAGTCCCTTGTGCCAAGACCAGGCAGGGAGGTGGGTGCTATTAGCTGGTATTGATGACACTGCCCACCCCTGAGGCTACAAGGGCAGCAGTTGGTGGCAGCGATGCCCACCTGACCAGGAATACGGCCCCTCCCTCACAGAGCCTCGGAGGCAGCATCAACAAGGCCAGAGACTTCCTGGAAGCCAATTACATGAACCTGCAGAGGCCCTACACCATTGCCATCGCCGCGTACCCGCTGGCCCAGCTGGGAAAACTAGAGGAGCCCCTGCTCGGCAAATTCCTGAAAACGGCCAAAGGTGAGGCGCAGCAGGGGCAGAGGCGGGACTCAGGAGAGTGACCCCAAGCTGGACAATGGCTCCAGGCCCAGCTATCGTGAATGTCGCAAGGGCGAGCAAAACCAGACATTGAGGTCCGCTGCACCCTTCTTTCTTCAAGGCTGCACCGAAAATGGCTCACACCACAAGTTCTAACCTCGGCCAGACCCGAGTGCAAACCCTGACCCGCTACCATCGCCCTGGGTGGCCTCCTACAGGTCACGTGACCTCTGAAAGCTTTCTTTGCTCAGCTTCAGACGGTAACTACATCCTCAGGAGGTTGTGAAGGTTCTGCGAGCTGTTTGTTGTTGTTGTTGTTAGGAGCCGCCCGGCCCCACACTACCCTCACCATGGTCCTATTTCTGAGCCATGCTTGCAGCCCCTGCGGCCATCCATCCATCACGCCAAGGGTCTTCCTCTTTCTCACTGCCCTTCTTATCCTTGACCAAGCATGATGTCCTTCACCAGGGACTGGTCTTCATGACAATATGCCCAAAGTACGTGAGAGGAGGTCTCACCCACCTTGCTTCTCCTTTTTCAATCATTTTATTGGGGGCTCGTACAACTCTTGTCACAATCCATCCATGGTGTCAAGCACATCTGTACATTTGTGGCCATCATCATTCTCAAAACATTTTTTTTTCTACTTGAGCCCTTGGTATCAGCTGCTCATCCCTCCCCACCCCCACCTACCCCCATCCCCCAGCCCCATCCTTGCTACTAAGGAGTGCTCTGGGCTGTACTTCTTTCGAGACGGATTCTGTTTGTTCTTTTGGTAGTCACGGATTCCAGGGAGAAATGTAGGTTAGAGCGAGTCTGGTACTGGATGTGAGCCCCGGAACTGATGTGATCATATTGACACTAAAGTTATAGGTGGTGCAATGGTTAAGCATGTGATGGCTAATGGGAAGGTTGGGGGTTCAAACCTACCCGGTGGTTCTGAGGGAGAAAGACCTGGCAATCTAATCCTAAAATGATGAGAGTCAAGTACACTCCCAGAGGATAGTTCTGCTCTGACACAAGAGGTCGCCATAGACCCACGACAAGCACGTCACCATTACCTCCAGGGCAGTGCCTCTTTGGGCCACTGCTGCCCATCTCTTTGCTCAGCAGTGGCACAATCATCCACAGCCGGGACATGGCAAGGTGGGCATCTTCACACCACAGAAACTGGCACTCGCTCCCACTCAGCAATCAAAAAGCACGCGGAAGTCAGACGGTGAAGACAGAAGAGGTCAGAGGCAAATGGACACCTCTGAGTCCCGGTGCTGGAGAACAGTTCATATTCTCGGGCACGTCCGGAGAACAAACTTCTTCTCCTATAAAGATGACGGCGTTGAAGCTCTATGACGTGGCTCCACTCTGTCCCAGGGGTCACCCTGAGTCTAAATCAACTTGAGGGCATTCAACAAGGGGCTCCAGTGCGCGGGAACAGCCTGTCCCAAGGCGCAGAGGTCAGAACGAGCATGGCAAATCTATCTAGGGACCCTCCCTGTTGTTCAGTGGGGTTGAAGGTCAAACACGTAAAAAGGAGGAGTCAGGATTGATGAAGAACGAGTGTGAGGTCGGGAGCCCACAGATGGAGAGACGGGATGCCTGAGCACCAAGAGGTTCTACCGGGTGCCGTCTTGTTGATTCTCGCTCATGGTCGTGACCCATGTTGTGTCAAGAGTTCCTCCACAGGGTGCTCAACGGCTGTGACCTTTTACAAGTTGAGATGGCCAGGACTTTCTTCTGAGTCTCCTGCAGGTGGACCCGAACCTTCAACCTTCTTGGTTAGCCACCAAGAGTGCATCCACCCTTGGGGGTACCAAGAGGTCCTAGCGGGCGTTCTTGTCTGAGCTGTCTCTCAGCCATCACCGGGCTGGGAGAACTGTGAGCACTGGGGGTTCTCTCCGCAGACAGGAACCGCTGGGAGGAGCCTGGTCAGCAGCTGTACAACGTGGAGGCCACCTCCTACGCCCTCTTGGCCCTGTTGTCTCTCCGAGACTTTGACTCTGTGCCTCCCGTCGCCCGCTGGCTCAATGAACAGAGATATTATGGAGGTGGCTATGGCTCCACCCAGGTAAGTGGCTCCCTGAGTCCCAGGCACCTGCATCTCGACCTCCTCTAACCGCCCACTGCCCCATTGGGGCAGATAAGCTGAGCCCAGAGAGGCAGTTCCATCCCAGGAGGACGCTGATTGGGGTGGGATTGAGCAACGTGCTTTTTCTCAGTTGCAACTTGCCTGTGAGTTCTAGACTATCTTCTTGATGCCTCAAGGTGTGTTCCACTCCCTCCTCTCCCTCTTGGTGTGTAGAGGGAGACACCCACCTGTTCTGGGCCCAGGTTCAGGTGTAAGCTTCTCCACCGTCCCCTTTGCCCCAATCCCAGAATGTTCTAAACCTCCAGTGGTGGGGAGTGGGGCCTGTGTGTAGGTTCTAAAAGCCAGGTTCTAGGTTATCCTATGGCCTATTCAAAGCAGCTCACCCCCTGTTGGGTTCTAGACCAGTTCTGGATTTCCTGGACCCCTCATTCTGTCCCCTGACTCCTAGCGGGTTCTAGAGCATGGCCCCCAGCAACTTCAGGCTCCATCACAGTCCACTTTGACCTCCTCCTTTTTTGCTGGGCTCTCCATCCCATCCTGACCATCCCCAGGCCCAGGTCTGACATCACCAGGCCCGGATCTGATATCACCAGGCCTGGGCGTGACATCACCAGGCCTGGATCTGAATCTCTCCCCTTCTGAGATCCTAGATCTTCTGCTCAGTGTCACCAGGTTCCAATTGGCTTCCTTGCACGAAGGGGCTCAAAATGCACCCACCGTGCCCATGCCCTGCTCTGGGATGCACTCCTCCAGGGGTTCTTGAGAGACCGCGCTGATGCTCAGCATGGCCCGACACCAAGTCTTGTCCTTACCCTCTCCTCTGTGACTCTCTGGCTTGAAGAGTTCTCGGACATATCCTCTAGGTTAGCCATCGCCTTCATGCCCCCAAACCCCAGTCAGAGCCCCTCCCTGCCTCAGCAAGGTCTAGAACTCACCCTCAGTGTCCCCAGATCCCCCGATCTGCCACCTGAGCTCTGCATGAGTGCTAGGTCACTGTCGTCTGGCTGCTAGTCTCTTGGCCCCACATGGGCTCAAATCACTTTCGAACTACCTGCTCTGGCTCCCGTTCTCACCTCCTTTCTCTCTGGGGGGGTTTCTAGGCCACCTTCCTGGTGTTCCAGGCCTTGGCTCAGTACCAGAGGGACGTCCCCGACCACAAGGACCTGAACCTGGATGTGTCCATCCACCTGCCCAGCCGCAGTTCTAAGATCGCCTACCGCATCCAGTGGGAGTCCGCCAGGCTGCAACGGTCGGAATCGGTCAGTCCTCCTGCCTCTGGGCCTCCTTGTTCTGGTTTGCTCTTTGTACCCAGCCAGGGTCTACTGGAAGGGCAGAGGGGACACGTGTCAGGAAAGCACTCAGCAAGCACTCTCTGTTCTCTCCCCCTCCCCCCCTCCTTGCAGACCAAGGAAAATGAGGAATTCACATTGACAGCCAAAGGGAAGGGCCAGGGCACCTTGTCGGTAAGGAATGTAGGGAGGCACATCTCTCCGCCCTCTGTGTCCTGGAGGGGATCCTCTCTCTCCTGTCCTTGGCCATCCCTAGGCTCAGCGTCTCAGACCTCATGACCCCCCACCCACACTCCCACCCCCAGGTGGTGACAATGTACCATGCCAAGCTCAAAGACCACCTCTCCTGCAAGAAGTTCGACCTTCGGGTGGACCTCCGCCCTGCTCCTGCTACAGGTAAAAGGAAGCAAGAGTCCCCCACTTGGACTTGAACTCCCGAACCTCCAGCCTCCACACCTTAGCCCCCCTTCCCCTTAGCCCCCCTTCCCCCTGCCACAGCTTCTCATGTCTCTGCCTCCCTCCCATGCCTTTTCTAGTCAAGAAGCCGCAGGATGCTCAGAGCACCATGATCCTGAGTATCTGTGTCAGGTGAGAGGCTGGGCCGCTGGCGGGCGTTCGTGTCTGCTGCTCCCCCCACCCCCATCCCCGCCGTCTGCCACAGTCTGCACATCTCAAGAGCCTACCGGGCATCTGCCAACTGCGGCCGAGTCACCTCCCACTTCGGGGGATTCCCCCCACGCCCCAGGTCAGAGCAGAGCTGAGCCCCCGAGGGTGGCCCAGGGCCGGGTTCGAAGCCGGAGGTCTCCAGGCCTTTCTTCCCAGGCACTTCCCGGTGGACTCCAAGCTCCAACCTTGTAGGTAGCTGCCTCAAGGAGGAGGCTGGCTGCTCGTGTAACCCAGGGCCTCCCAGAGCTCCCCTGGGGTGTTGGCTTTTGTCCCGTTTGCCAGCGTCACTTCCAGGTAACGCCTTCGTCTCTTCCTCGTTGGGCTTCTGGTTGTTCAGGTGCCCTTGAGTCGGCTGCGACCCTTGAGGACGATGACCCAGAACCAATCATTGCCCGGTCCCGCCATCCTCACCATGGCCCTGTGTTTGAGCCCGCTGTAGCAGCGACTGCGAGCCCACTTGCAGCCATCTCCCCAAGGGCCTTCCTCTTTTCCCCACCCACCCCTGCACTTGACCGAGCACGATGTCCTTCTCCAGGGACTGGTTTCTCCTGACCACACGTCCAAAGTCTCCCCATCCTTGCCTCTCAGGAGCACTCCGGCCTCACTTCTTCCAACCCAGATCGGTCTGTCCTTTGAGCAGTCCACAGTGCTCTCCATATGCTTCTCTCGCACCACGAGCAAATCGCATCGCTTCTTCCACCTTCCTCATTCACTGTCCCACTGTCACATGCATACGAGGCCACTGAAGCTACCATGGCCTGGCTACGGCCAGAATGCTTCCCTTAGAAGAGGACGGCCCTGGACGAGATGGATGGACACAGAGGCTGCAGCCACGGGTTCAAACCTAACAACCACTGGGAGGAGGGCGGGCACAGGGCCGGCGCTGTCTCCTTCTGTTGATTCAGAACCGGCTCAGACGGCATCTAACCACGGCACCACCCGAGCGACCCCCTGTGACAGAGGAGTGCTGCCCCCAGGTGGTCAGTCATCTTGGCAGGAGCAAGTCGCCAAGCCTGTCCTCCTGCTGGGTGGCTGAGCGGGTTCGAGCCGGCCCTTAACCACCCTTAACCACCGGCGGCTTAACCACTGCATCACCAGGGCTCCTTACCACTGCATTCCTTTTCTCTTCTCCTGCTGGGAACATGTTCCCTGCAAGCTCCTACCCCTCTTGGCTGGGATGCAGAAGCCTTAGTGCCACCCTCCACTCAGCCAGCACCCACTCAGCCAGACACTGATCCCCGAGGCTTGACCCCTGGTGCTCTGTCCCATCCAGGTACCTGGGACAGCAGGATGCCACCATGTCGATCCTGGACATATCCATGATGACCGGCTTCTCCCCTGACACCAGTGATCTGGACTTGGTAGGAAGGGCTTGGGCTTGGGATTGGTGGGAAGGGGCCTGGGATCTGGAAGAGACTGGGGGCCTGGGGGAGGGCCCAGGAGTGATGCTCACAAGGCCCCTCCCTCCCTAGTTGAGCAAAGGCATCGACAGGTACATCTCCAAGTACGAGATGGAGAAGGCCTTCTCTAACAAGAACACCCTCATCATCTACATGGACAAGGTAAGGCTACCTGGACGCCACGTCTTCTCACTGCCTTGGTCTCCTGGCTAGGCCAGTCACAGGCGAACGGAGCAGTGGGGAGGGCACATGCAAAACAAGGGGCTGAACCCAGGAACACAGCCCCTGAGTGGCGCAGACTGCTTAGCGCTGGATGGCTAGTTGGAAAAGGCTGAGTGTGGGAATCCACCCGAGGCATCTCGGGAGACTGGCCTGACAGTCTGCCCCAGCCTTGGGTGCCCTGTGGAACGCAGTCCTGCTGTGATCCCTGTGGGACCACCTGGAGTCAGAATCGACCGCAGGGCAACTCACAATGATCAGTTATTATTCATGACAGACAGAGTAGGCCAGCAGTGATGGCTGAGCGGGTCAGTTTTTGGATGGTGCAAATGGGTCCCTCGTTCCCCACCAACACTTACTGAAAGGTTGGCGGTTCGAACCCACTGAAAGGCATGCTTGGAGACAGGCCAGTTGTGTTGTTTCTGAAAGTTCGTGACTTAGAGACCCCCATGAGACAGGACGACTCTGTCTGCGCCATCAGTCAGAATGGACGAGATGGCACCAGAACAGTTCCCACCAGCCCATGTCCCTCGGCACCATATCAGCCTAGTATCTTGGTTCTGTAGTGTGGCTGGAACAAAAATACCAAAAGGGGGAGGCTTTATGGAACAGAACATTCATTTTATCACAGCTTAAGGCTCACTCACTCACTCAGTCCCCTCCATCGAGTTGATGGTGACTCGTGGAGAGCCATGAAGGACAGGTAGAGCAGCCCCTGTGGGTTTTTGAAACTGCGACTCGTTACGGGAGTAGAAACCCTCATCCTTCTCCTGACAAACAACTGGTGGTTTTGAACTGCAGACCTATGCCACCAGAGCTTCTCAGTTCAAGGATCAATTCAATTCATTGCCATCAAGTGGATTCCAACTCATAAGGCTCCATCAGACAGGGTAGAACGGCCCCTGTGGGTTTCCGAGACTATAGCTCTTTATGAGAGTAGCAAGTCCTTATTGTTGTCCCTCAGGATGGCTGGTAGTATCAAACTGCTGACCTTGTTAGCAGCCCAACCCTCACCACGACACCACCAGGGCTCCTCAGTCCAAGGCTCGGAGTCTGAACTCAGGGGAAGACTGTTCATCTGCACTGGAGAAACTGCTTGGTCTCAGCTTCTTGTCACTCCCCCGCGTGGCATCACTTTGGCACAGTCTGGGCTTCCTGGCGTCCCAGCCAAACCTATTCCTCTTACATCTCAGAAGTGACCGGCTTAACACACTCTCTACCTGGGTGTGGCCTCGTTAGCATAACAAATAACCCACGTTCCAAATTCGAGTATACCCATGGCCCTCCAGTTAACTACCACTCATAGGGACCCTATAGAACAGAACAGAACTGCCTCATAGGATTTTTGAGACTCTACGGCTTCATGGGAACAGACAACCTCATCTCTCTCCCTTGAAGCAGCTGGTGGGTTTGAACCACTGACCTTCTGGTGAGCAGCCCAATTCTTAACCCACTGCACCGCTAGGGCCCCTTTCGCAGGAACAAGGGTCAGGGTTTCCGTGACACATATTTTTGGAGAACAAAATTCCATCCCTAATAGACAGCACCAGTAACACTCACCACTGTCACAAAGGCCTGACGAACTTAAGCACTGAAGAAGGTCGTGCTTTGCACTCCTGTGACATATAACTGGTAAGAGGGCTGAGGCGGGGGCTCAGCTCCATTCTGTCACTCAGAGACCCAACTTCCTTCCATCGTGTGGCTCGGCCAACCCTACTGTCTTCAATCCCTTCCTTCTAGCAGAAACAGGAGCCATTCCTGGGTGGGGTTTACGGGTAAAGAAAGCAGGCTGCTGTCCAGAATGTAACCACGTGGCCTCACCTAATGCAAATGAAGTCTGGGAGGTGTCTCCTCGCTTGGGCACCCGGGAGAAAAAGAACATTGATTCCTTGAAGGGCGCAGGTCCCTGCTGTCTCCCACCCACACCCCTCGGTTTCTCCACCACAGCTCCTACGCGCACTGTGCTCGGGTGGGGGTGGGGGGTGCAAACACACTGGGGCGTGAAGATGTGCTGGGCTGCTAACAGAAAGGTTGGTACTTTGAGCCCCACCCCAAGCAATACCTTGGGAAAAAGTCCTGGTGATCTGAAAGGTCAAAGCCCTGAAACCCCAGCAGGGGGTGGCGGGAGGGGGGGGCAGGGGGTGGACCAGCTCCACTCAGCAACAGCGAACCACGTCCACTCCCACGGATCCCTGCTAGATTCCTTCCTTCCTCGCCTCCCTCGTGCCCCCTCCCGTGCGGCCCGCTTACCACGCTCCTCTCCCTCCGCTCCAGATCTCACACAACAAAGAGGAGTGTCTGACCTTCAAAGTCCACCAGTTCTTCAAGGTCGGCCTTATCCAGCCTGGGTCTGTCAAGGTTTACTCCTACTATAACCTGGGTGAGTAGCCTTCCTTGGGGCGGAAGGTGGGGCCCCAGGGCTCTGCAGTGGGGGTGGGGGTAGTGTGAGGCTCTCACGGCTACAAGAATCTTGAGGGTCCATGAATTGAGGGTGTATGTTTCCTCAGGACCCTAGAACGGGGGCTGGGGGCCGGGGGGAGCAGCAGCAATAGACTTCTCCCTTTCCACCTGGGAGACACAGGTTCTCTTCATAGCCAGCTCACCTTAGGCCTGGCCGCCACCACCCCTGTCAGTGGAGGCTTACAGGCTGCTAGGGTGCTGCACGGATCCCAGTGGTAGTCTAGGGAGAAAGGCCCGGAAGTCGACTGCCCGAAAACCAGCCAGTGAAAACCCGGTCTGACCTGCAGCGGATCCCGTCAGGGACAGAGGGTCCCCTGGATGTACAAGGCCCGGGTATCTGAGAGTGGGGCAGTCTGAGGGCCCAGGATAAGGGAGGGCCAGGGACCCAGGACTGCGGTGTGCTGACCCGGCCCCCTCTCCTCTGCCCACAGAGGAATCCTGCACCAAATTCTACCACTCGGATAAGGAGGACGGGATGCTGGACAAGATCTGCCACAACGAGATGTGCCGCTGCGCTGAGGGTGCGGGGGCTGGGGCAGGGGTGGGGAGAGGGGTCGCTCACGGGCCCAGCCACCTGGGGGAGGGTGCCGACCACCACATGCCATGGCCACCAGGGGCCATGGCCACCCTAGTGTTGGGGGGCCCTGGATGAAATATCAGATGCTGATGATGGCCCCTCCCTTCCTCCCCCAGAGAACTGCTTCATGCGTCAGGCGGATGGCAAGGTCACCCTGGACCAACGGCTGGACAAGGCCTGCGAGCCAGGCGTGGATTACGGTGCGTGCGTGGAGGGAGGCAAGGCTGCCCCGGAGCGACTGTGTGGGCAGTGGGGTGTGTGCGCACGCACGCGCGCTAGACTGATAATGGTGGTGTGGCTGTGTGGATGAGACACTGTACACAGGAGGCATGGCCTTGGTTGTGTGTGAGAGGCTGTACAGCAGGGATGTGTGTGCGTATGAGAGAGAGACTTAGGATGAATGTGTGTGTGTGTGTGTGTGTGTATGTGTGTGTGAAAGAGACATGATAGGGACATGTGTGCATGCATTACATGAAAGAGACATGATAGGGACATGTGTGTATGAGAGACTTAGGATGAATGTGTGTATGTGCGTGAAAGAGACATGATAGGGATGTGTGTGTGTGTGTATGAGAGAGAGACTTATAATAGGTGTGCGCATGTATGCGTGTGAGAGAGAGACACTGGGTGGTATGCTGTATGTCAGACTAGTGTGTGTGTATGTGGAGAGAGAGAGAGAGACCTATGATAGGGGTATGTGCATGTGAGGACTGTATAGAAAGTGTGTTCTAAGACTATCCATCACAGGTGTGTGTGTGAGAGAGATCTGTGATGGGGTTGTGGGTGAGAGAGACTGGGAGATGTGATTTGTGTGACTGTACAGCAAGGGTGTGTATGAGAGAGAGAGAGTGTGTATGGACAGTATGGTTGTGTGAGAGAGCGAGAGCTTTATTATAGGGGTGTGTGAGAGATAGTCTGGGTGTGGTAGGTCCAGTTGTGTGTTAGACTGTACAGGATGGGTGTGCGAGAGAAAGAGACTTGATTAGGGCTGTGTATGTGAGAGCGAGACTATGGGGATGGTATTATGCTTGTGTAAAAGAAAGAGATTTAAGATAGGGATGTGCGTCACAGAGATGGTATATCTGGTGCGTTAGGCAGGGTTCACGAGAGAAATGAAACCAGGTCACTTGTGATTAGATAGATAGATTTATACAGCGAGAAGGAATTTAACAGCTAATTAGTCCACAAAGCAGTAGAGAGGGCTCAGTTCAACTCACTTCCATGGAACAGTTAATATACTGGAAGTCCTTTAACTCCTGTGGGCTGCCAGGTCCAAGGTCAAGGAAGCAGACAGCAGAGTCCTCCCTGGGCAAGGCAAGCTGAGTCTGCCCACAGGCAGCAAGCGGCAGGGTAGGTCACCAACAATCAGGGGCTTAGTGAAGCAGGCCCAGATGAGATATGCAGGCTGACAGGACCCACCTTCAGCTTGAGCTTCAGCCTCAAGCGCAAGCGATGTACACACCAGCAGCGTGGTGAAGCAAGGCTCGACGGAGCCTGAAGCTCTAGTGACAGGATCCACAGGTTGGCTTGGCCCGCAGGTGGTGTGGCTCACATGTTGAGACAGAGAACTAGCTACAGCAGCACCACGCACACTCCAGCACGTCTGATCACCAGAGAGCAAGAGAAACCGGGGGCGGGCCTTGCAGAGCCATTTATCTCTTTGCCCTCCAACCAACAAGTGACCTAATTAATCCCATGTGCTCCTATTGGCCAGGTTGGCACAATAAACCTAACTATCACAGCTGGTGTGATTGTGTGTGACACTATACAACACTATACACTATGCATCAAAGAGTGTGTGTAAGAGAGACTTTTGATAGGGTGTGTGTGAGAGAGACTGTATGGTCGTGTGCGGCACGATACAACAAGGGGGTGTGTAAGAGAGGGAGATAGGCTGTATGTGAGCTGGTGGCAGGCTGTGGCCACCTGGACACCTCAGGTTGGGGGAGCCAGGTGTGCTTGGGTGGGGGGCAAGGCTGCCTCAGAGCAGGCCCGTGCCCCTGACCCCATTTCCCCCTGCCCTACAGTGTACAAGACCAGGATGGTGAGGAAGGAGCTGTCCAACGATTTCGACAATTACATCATGGTCATCGAGCAGCTCATCAAATCAGGTCAGCCAGCGTCCCGCCCATG